GCGCCTACTTTAATATAAAAAGAAACCAAGTTAAAATATAATTTAGCTAGAAGTTAGTTTGGTGAAAATAGTAACCTAAGTTATATAGTAGAAGTTAGAAATTTGTTTTTTTTTTTACTATAAATTTAAAAAACGTGGGTTAATCCCGAAAACTTCACTAATACACTCTTAATTATCATAATATAAATGAACAATCAATATAATCAACATAGATATTTTAATAATTATCATAAAGATTGTAGGTAGCGACAAAATAATTTTCCCTACACTAACCGTACATTTTTAGCGCGTTATAGTATTTTGCTGTAAAAGGCTAATGTAGCGACGCTACGTCATTCGCTACAAATAAAGTAGCGCGCTATTTCAGACCATTGCTATTACATAATATTATTATTTATCAACTATAAAATACCTTTAATCGTTCTGCGTAGGTTTACGATAGTATGATGACGCTTTTTATTAAAGGGTGCACTGGTGTACACTGGTTCCAGCCATTGGTATATTTAGGATTTTATAGCTAGGTATAGTAGGACACTATGCAGTCATAGGCGGATAGGGGGGTCTTTGGGGGCTTAGCCCCGCTCCAAAAAAAAAAAAATTTGTCAGGTTTCATGTGAAATGTGATTTTATTTGAATATATACATATTTTTTTAGTTAATTTAGCCCCCCCCCTGAAATTTATATGGATTTCCGCCTATGTATATAGGACTAGGGCGTAGGCACAATACAAGTTTTGTCGCCTCACTAATTATTAGTAGTTTTGGCATTATATTGAATATTATTTATCACACGAGTCTATAAGTTCGCATCACAATTCACAAATGTTCATGGTATATTCAAAAAGAATTGCAGACAGRCTGAAAAATTGGTTAATGACAGTTAATGACTTGTTTAAAATTCAAACCATAAAAGAGGAAAAATACATTTTGATTTATATAAAAGTATAACTCATTCATAGATACGTTCAGACACTTATTAATATATCTAAAATAGTTAATTTTAAAAAAATCACGAAAAATAATTTACAAATTAAGTACCTATCCTGTCATACAATAGTCACAGATATACTGAAGTAGAGAGATTAATCTTTTTAGAGATCACTAGTTGTGTAGTGAGGAAACTTTATTATTTTTTAAGTGAATCATAATATATCGTGATGGTATTTAAATCCTTTTTCGTACAAAGAACTTATGTTCACTCTATTTTGACTCTGTCGTCGCGGGCCGTCCAAAATTAGTTTTGTGATGCAAATTTCCACGTGGTTCCCTGTTATAGGGGAGTCGATTTCGATAGCAGGGTAACACGTTATTGGCGATTCGCAAAATTATCTATAGCGCGTTCTATCGCTGGACAAAGTAAAGAAATCATTGCCAATTACCTAGTTATTTCTTATTATCATATTTCGGGATTACGTTTGGAACTGTTTAACTATAACATTTATGTCYAGTTGGACCAGTTGTGTTCGTGAATAACATTGTATTATACTATYATGTATTAAAATTATGATTTATGGTATAAGAACAATGGTAATACGATAAAAAAAAATTAAATAAAAATGTCAAACCACAGAATTACATGGGTTCTGTGTAATCAATATAATAATGACATTAGGTTCGCGACCAAAAGTGAACTCTATAAACCCAGATGCACAATAATTGTACATAATATTATTAYTGTAATKGGTCGGTGTCGCCATAAAAAAACATCGAATAAAAACTAATCTGGAATTCCATATTGCTTATAATGGTTGTAATCTACGTGGGAGGGATTTTAGATTATTAATTAATATTTTATAAGTATTATGAATAAAATTATGAAAATATATATAAAATAATGATGTGAACACAATATACACAGAATATGAACAGATTGTAACATTCGTAACACTTAATATTATTATCTAACTACGAGCGTCATGGCACCGGTCGGGCATATGTGGGATCGTTTTTGGAAATAATAATAATTTACGATAACAAAATAATATTATACAAAATATTGTTGTGATACGATAAAAAAAWAATAATAATAATAATAAACGACAACAGTAAAACGTAGTCTTATAATATTGCGCGTGTAATTATCGTCGTTTTTATTGAATGGACTTAACGCAACGGGAATGATGATGTTGTGTAATAGTTATCCTTTTATTATTATTATTATTATTAGTATTATATCTATCGCACATGTTCCGTATTGGCTGTACAATAATAACACGTACGTCTGGAACGGTAGCAGCAAACTACGTTGCGTATAAATTGATTTTAGAACGTGATACTTATTAAAATAATAATAATACTAAAGATTGTGTTCTTCTATAGCATGGCTTTCTTTCATATTAAATGTCTGTAGAATATAATTCAATGGTGGCGTAAAGTGGTTTTTCACGAAACAGCTGCTTTATACTGGATAAAGGCTGCAGCTCTCAGTGCTCTCACGGTCGTGTTTGTTTCCTGTCGCGTATTTTCATAATATTTATAGCGGAGTGTATAATATGCTGCGACTGCAGTACACAGATGAGTAAAGCGACTCTCGACCTCCTCGGTTTTCAATTTAATGTAAATGAAAAATATTATGTAGAATAATAATATAATGTTTTTAATTGCGGATGGACAACAAAATAAAATATGTACAATTTAGATATTAGGTCGCAGGCCGTAATATCCCGTAAACTGCAATTTAAATTATAATGTAGTAAAAGGAAATGTTATTATAATATGTAATTAAGTTTTCTTTGTTTTACAATATATGTGTAGACATTCTAATACTGGTTTATTAATTATCCTAACCAGGAGCGAACGCAGGAAAAAATTTCGGAGAGGGGGGTGGAAAAATTTAAAATAGGTATTCATAAATATCATATTATTCATACTGTATTATACTTTATCACTCTACTATATTTTATTTTAGGAACTTATACTATATACMTATTATACATATTACGTATTATAGATTAACTATAATTATTTTTTTAAATGTTATTAGTAATACATTTGTAGGTCAGATCATTTATTTTTTGTACCTGCTATTTCGGGGTGGGGGGGGGAGTGTTTAATTTTGTAGGTTAATAATTAATGTAAAATATAGTATAAATAATAATAATAATAATATTATATTAATCATTTAAGAGTTAACTTATTAAATAATTGGTTGTTGCATTTAACAAGTAGGTATGATATATTCAAACCTCAAGGTTATTGTTTGTCATGTTAGTTCTTTGTTTGTCATATTCATTCCAACAACACAGCTCAACTAAAACACAATTGCAATGACTAGACGAATAGTGGACAATAGTATTTTTACATCCAATTTTGGATAACTTAAAAAAAAGGAAAAAATATAAAACGAAAGATTATTATTTGTAGTTTAAGTTTTTTATTGGTGCTAGGAGCCTTAATTTATAATGTATTGTAAATTGTAATACAGAATGTAACAATATATGTCTACATATTACCTTAATGTAGTTAATTATTCAATATTTTATAATTTTAAAATTATATTACAGTAGTCAATATAATATTAATAGTAATTCAACAATTTATAATTCTAAATGATACCAATACATTTTTCGCTTCACTCAGAACTTAAAACTGATTTTAATAAATTTTTTTAAATTTAAAAAAAAAAAAATGCTATACATTTAAGGAAGAAAATGTCAAAATGGCCTCCAGGTTTGTTTTTTCGCGATAGGAAGAAGAAGMTACTAAGATAGAAGCTGAAAAGATACAATTAGCAAAACAGTGGGACAAACCGCGGAAAAACTGGGTAAAGTGTGAAAATGTGGACACCAAGTTTGAYGATTCTATGGATGTTGATGTCGATGAAGTAAATATTGAACAAAGAATCACAGGGTAAAATGGATTTCTATGTAGTTTAAATTTGATCTGTAGTACAACTGTAAGACTGAGAACAACAAAACAACACATCAGGGTGTGGCGTTCTCTTATATATAAGGGATTATTTTAAAATTCTCCTTGGTGAGGACTGAGGGATAATGCTTCGTATCATTTTATACAGCTAACTAATCTGATTGAAGTTGACGTTTTAACACTGGATGAACAATGGGACACACAAATTACTATTTTTTCTGAAAATATCACTGATCCGTTGGACTTATAGAATGTACAACTATGATATAAGATTATTACACCTTTGAAGCAAAATTAACCTTACGTACCACAAGCGTATTTACAAATTTTTTTTAACTTAATATTTATAAAAAAAGAAATTGTGCATTCTCGTCAGATATAGGTGTAAAAATAAAAATAAACCATGTGGTTGTTTTACAAGCATTAAAAAACAAATAATTTAATAAAAATCATTGCAGAAATTTGGAAAACAACWAACATAAACATAATAAAAAATCTGTGTCACGAATAYCATAGTATTCGTTATAAATTGATGACATCCATATCAGTGAATACTGATCACTACCATTCCATTGCCATTATTGTTTTGACATTATTTTATTATTATTATTATTATTAATTTATTAAACGCCTGTAAGGCTCAATTACAGTATAGGTAATAAACATTAGTATAACTTCAATATTCATACAGTCAGTGGCGTACTTAGATCTAAGTTTCGTGGAGGGGAGGTACCTCCCACCGTTAGTACGCCCCTGTGTCGCGACCTTCTATTTAAAATTTAAACTAGTTAACTTAATAAACCATATATAATTAAAACTCAAAATAGGTA